TCTTGGGGTAAACTGGAGGAAGACTCAGGTTTTGCCCCTTCTATTAGACCCAGATCACTTCTCTGCCCTTAAAAGCATCAGATCAATCCAAGATCGATTTTAACAGATGCTTTCCTAAGCCAAAAAATGGCCTGTTTACATTTCTGGAGAAACGGTGTCATGTTTCACATGACTGTCATATTGACTGTCATATGCCTTTAAATGTTTTCAGTGTTTTGTTTCTCTGCTCCTCCCTTTCCTTCAGTTTAGCTAATGTTGCATAGATAGCCCTCCCCCCTTCCCAGAGATGCATTGCAACAGCCTCATGGCAAGAAGCAGAAACAGCATGTTCTTTTGACCTTATCAAATGTTTATTGTTGTAAGATTCTCTCAGTTTATGGAATAAATTCACAAGATATCATTCTTATTGAGTCACTGACTGTGGACCCCAACTGAGGTTGAAGTTATCGCTATCTCACCACAACTGTAAGTTACAGAGATTACACTATCAATGCTTCGATTGGACACACAGAACAAACGGGAAGTGACAAAATACTCATTGCTTCCAGTTTCTTGTACCATAGAGATTATTGAGGAAGATCCGTTCTCCATTCAGCTCTATGGTTATCAGGCGGAATCACTGGCTCCAGTCTCGGGCTCCTAGGTGGGGCACCACTTCTGCTGCTTGCAAAAGCAATCCAGTGGTTATTCAGATGCTAGGATTGCTTTTACTAAAAAGCCCATCGCTGGCTGAAAAAGCAAAAACTGAGGTGATGCCTGCAGCTGCAGAGATCAACCTGGTATAACCACTTTAACCACTTGTCAACTATTAAGCCGAATGATGACTACAGCCCGGTTGTCCAGTCCTGGGAGGGCGTCATGTGACGGCCTCCCAGAACGCGCCCCCGGCGATCTCCGTGATCGATGTTTCCTATGGACACAGCTGATCACAGGATGAGTTAAAAGGCCAATCACAGCGGCCTTTTACCACGTGATCAGCTGTTCCAATGATACAGCAGATCACAATGTACAGGTGAAACTCGAAAAATTCAAGTATCGGGGAAAAGTTCATTTACTTCAGTAATGCAACTTAAAAGGTGAATCTAATATATGAGATAGACTCATTACATGCAAAGCAAGATAGTTCAAGCTGTGATTTGTCATAAATTGTGATGATTATGGCTTACAGCTCATGAAAACCCCAAATCCACAATCTCAGAAAATGAGAATATTTGTGAAAAAAAAGTGCAATATTCTCGGCTCAAAGTGTCCCACTCTAATCAGATAATTAAGCCATAACACCTGCAAAGGGTTCCTGAGCCTTTTTAAATGGTCTCTCAGTCTGGTTCAGTAGGAATCACAATCATGGAAAGACTGCTGACCCGACAGTTGTGCAGAAAACCATCACTGACACCCTCCGTAAGAAGGGAAAGCCTCAAAAGGTAATTGCAAAAGAAGTTGGATGTTCCCAAAGTGCTGTATCAAAGCACATTAATAGAAAGTTATGTGGAAGGGAAAAGTGTGGAAGAAAAAGGTGCACAAGCAGCAGGGATGACTGCAGCCTGGAGAGGATGTCAGGAAAAGGCCATTCAAAAGTGTAGGGACTTTCACAAGGAGTGGACTGAGGCTGGAGTCAGTGCATCAAAAGCCACCACACAGACGGATCCTGAACATGGGCTTCAAATGTCGTATATTCCTCTTGTCAAGCCGCTCTCTGAACAACAAACAACGTCAGAAGCGTCTTACCTGAGCTAAAGAAAAACAGACCTGGTCTGTTGTTTAGTGGTCCAAAGTCCTCTTTTCTGATGAGAGCAACTTTTGCATCTCATTTGGAAACCAAGGACCCAGAGTATGGAGGAAGAAATGGAGAGGCACACACTGCAAGATGCTTGGAGTCCAGTGTGAAGTTTCCACAGTCTGTGTTGATTTGGGGAGCCGTGTCATCTGCTGGTGTTGGTCCACTGTGCTTCATTAAGTCCAGGTGTCAACGCAACCGTCTACCCAGGAGATTTTGGAGCACTTCATGCTTCCTTCCGCAGACGAGCTTTATGGGGATGCTGACTTCATTTTCCAGCAGGACTTGCACCGTGCCCACACTGCCAAAAGCACCAAAACCGTGGGATTACTGTACTTGATTGGCCAGCAAACTCACCTGACCTGAACCCCATAGAGAATCTATGGGGCATTGCCAAGAGAAAGATGAGAGACATGAGACCGAACAATGCAGAAGAGCTGAAGGCCACTATTGAAGCATCCTGGTCTTCCATAACACCTCAGCAGTGCCACAGGCTGATAGCTTCCATGCCACGCCGCATTGAGGCAGTAATTGCTGCAAAAAGGGGCCCAAACCAAGTACTGAGTACATATGCATGCTTATACTTTTCAGAGGTCCGATATTGTTCTACAGGTGAAACTCGAAAAATTAGAATATCGTGCAAACGTTCATTTATTTCAGTAATGCAACTTAAAAGGTGAAACTAATATATGGGATAGACTCATTACATGCAAAGCAAGATAGTTCAAGCCATGATTTGTCACAATTGTGAGGATTATGGCTTACAGCTCATGAAAACCCCAAATCCACATCTCAGAAAATTTGAATATTACATGCAATCAATAAAACAAAGGATTGTACATTAGAACAATATCGGACCTCTGAAAAAGTATAAGCATATCAGTGCCCAATCAGTGCTGCCTATCCGTGCCACCTCATCAGTGCCCATCAGTGCTGCCTATCCGTGCCAGCTTATCAGTGCTGCCTATCAGTGCAGCCTCATCAACGCACATCAGTGAAGGAGAAAAATCCACCCGTTTATTTCTATTATAAAATGTTGCAATGAAAAACTTTTTTTTTATTTTTTGCAATTTTTCTGTTTATAGTGCAAAAATTAAAAACCCCAGTGGAGATTAAATACCACCAAAAGAAAGCTCTATGTGTGTGAAAAAGAATGCTAAAAATTTCATAAGGTACAGTGTTGCATGACCGCACAATTGTCTTTTAAATAAAGTGTGACAGCACTGAAAGCTGAAAATTGGCCTGAACACAAAGGGGGTAAAAGTGCCCGGTAGGCAAGTGGTTTAAACTGGTGATAACATAATAAATTAACCAAAAAAAAAAAATATAAGAAGACCTGCCAGCACTCTTCTTTATTGCGAACGCTGTCTATTAAATTATATTTTATGTAATAATAAACCAATAAATCCTATCTTAAATCCTAAAACAATAAACACAAATCCAAAGCAGCTGTGTAAATGATCTGAAAGACGACAATTATAATAATTACAAAGTAATTACAGCACTAAAATATAAAAACGTAATAGAATCAATACATAATTAGTTCTCACAAGAAAAAAAAAAAAAATTAGCATTTTACAAAACAGTGTATAGCCAGCAAAAGTGACAAACTCTAATTTTAAAAAAAGAAAAAAAGATATGCAAACATAATTACCGAGTGGCGGACCACCCACTGTGTGTGTGTGTATATATATATAATATATATATATTATATATATATATATATATATATATATATATATATATAGTAAAGCCCTGAGGAAACTGTTGGCGCTATAATAAATCCTGTATAATAATAATAATTATATATATAGTACATACACACACATACACTGCCCCATCTGTGCTGTCATTCTCTACAGCACAAGTCAGTCATAAGATCCTGGCCAGTAATTTATGGCTGGCACCTGCTGATCGGCTTAGCAAATCAAAGCACAGAGCCCTATGTTTGCTAACAACACAGGATCTGTACAGAGAGCACAGATGTGTCTGTTCTTTCTCCCTGTATATCTTTTTTTACTTTTTTAAGTGGGAGAACTTGCATAATTGGTGGCTGACTAAATACTTTTTTTGCCCCACTGTATGTAAAAAAAAAAAAAAACTAAAAATGTGAAAAAACATTTTTGTGAAAAATTATAATTTTTGGTTATAAACTATGTGTGTTATTTTTTTTTTTACTAAAAAGATAACTGAATAAATGTTGGCCAAGATTTATGAAGAAAGATTATTTATTGCAAAATTTTATAAGAAAAAAAACTTTTTTTCAAAATTTGTGGACTTTTTCAATTATATAGCAAAAAAAAATAAAACTCCCAGTGGTGAATAAATACCACCAAAATAAAGTTTTTAACCTGTCCTCAAAAAAATGCTAAAAAATTCATATGGGTACAGTGTAGCATGACCGCACAATTGTCATTCAAAGTGTGAATAGCACTGAAAGCTGAAAATTGGCCTGGATAGGAAGGGGTGAAAGTGTCCGGACTGGAAGTGGTTAAGTGGTTTAGAGAAAAAAATCCCTTCTATTGTTTTCAGCCTCCTCCAGATCTTCAGATTCCTGACTTCCTGCTGGAGGTTGGCTAGTTTATTCTTCATGGTCCCACTGTATATGGAATGTAGCCACCCCACTCTAAGGCTACGTTCACACTAGCGTTGTGTGCAGGTGGCAGAAAGGCGTTTGGGAAGAGTTTTTACCGCTTCCCAAACGCCTTGGACAATTCTGCACATTGCAGCACAATGGTGCTGTTCTAACGAAAGCATTAGCGGCCAAAACGGACGCCCTCTGGTCAAGTCAGGAGGCGTTGAAGCCTCCTATTCTATTGTGCCGCTCTGCAAACGCCCGGCCGGCGTTTGCGGCGCAGTTCCGGGGCGTTTGCAGAGCGGTAACACCATCCAAACTTCATTATAGGCGTTTGTGGGGCATTTTTAACGCTCGGCAAACACCTAGCAACCGCCGCTGAACTGCGCATGCGGCGTTTGCGGAGCGTTTCGCCAGTACCAACGCTTGCCAAACGCAATAGGGGCATTTGGCAAGAGTTGGTAAAAACAGTCAAGTGTGAACGAGCCCTTACTGACTTCCAAGATGGATTTTGGACTATGGGATTTGTAGTGTCATAGGGCAGTGCACATGACCACAATTATTGTTCACTGATCCATCCAAGCAATAGAAGTGAGGGGGAACAGATGTGTGATACAAGACAAATAAAAATACAAAAGACATCTTGCCTACCGTCCCCATTTCCATTGCCAGAACTGTTATTCAGGATGTGATCGTAGTAGAATCCATTGTAGAAAGGAAGACAGTGACAGGTGGCCAAGAGGAAGAGCAACACATGATTTCTGTCTGCATTGTATTCCCGTGGAGTCGCACTGCAATTCAGCTGGATCTGAAAAACAAAAAAAAAACAGTGAGGGTTTCATTTCATTCCCAAGGTCCACCCCGGATTATTGCAATCATTCTTTGGCTGTTTGTATCCTAAACTTCCCTTTCCCACATTTTTCCCCGACTGTGAATCATGTTTTACACCATTATAGCGAGATGTCATCAGATTCTTTATAGTTAAGTGATTTTTTCAAAAAATTGTTTGAATCCATTAAAGTGACACTAAAAACTCACAGATTTTATTAAATAAAGTAAATATGTTTAAATATCAGTAGAATGTACCTTCTATCTCTCTGTTTGTTTGTTTTATCTCTCAAATACAAACTTTTCTGCTCTTCTCAGACTTCCTGTTCTAGTGTGGCTACAGTCAGTCATTCTCCTTGGCCCCCCCCCCCCCCCCCCCCCCCCATCTATGTGAATTTAGCCATCCTCCGAAATAGACTACACATTTATGTAAAGACACATTCAGCTCTATGGGAATTGTAATACGCATAGGCCAGAGCCTCTCACCAGATAGAACAGCACTGCTCGCTCTACACTGGTAGTGGTGATGTGTATCAATGGAGGACAGGGATTGTGCACGGGAGAAAAAAAGAAGCCTGAAAACAACAGGAATCATATACACTTGCTTCGGCTTTAACACACATAAAAGTGCCTACAGCTTCAACATGTTTTTTTATTGTGTTTTTGATTCTTCTGTAGATGCGTTGTTTTGTTGATGCTTTTTTGAAGAGTTAATGAAGCTTGGCAAAAGCCCCGTTTTGATCTCTGCTGATCCCCCGCTCAGTAGTAACCCCCAGCTCTGCTGATCCCCTCATAGTAACCCCCAGTTCTGCTGATCCCCCACTATCCCCCACCTCTGATCCCCATTCAGAATCCCCACCTCTGCTGATCCCCCGCTCAGTAGTAACCCCCAGCTCTGCTGATCCCCCGCTCAGTAGTAACCCCCAGCTCTGCTGATCCCCCGCTCAGTAGTAACCCCAGCTCTGCTGATCCCCCGCTCAGTAGTAACCGCCAGCTCTGCTGATCCCCCGCCGCTCAGTAGTAACCGCCAGCTCTGCTGGTCCCCCGCTTAGTAGTAACCCAAGTTCTGCTGATCCCCCACTCAGTAGTATCCCCCACCTCTGCTGATCCCCCATTCAGTAGTATCCCCCACCTCTGCTGATCCCCCGCTCAGTAGTAACCTCAGATAGTGCTGATCCCCCAGTAGTAACCCCCAGCTGTTGATCCCCTACTCAGTAGAGTAACCCCCAGCTCTGCTGATTCCCCCCCACTCAGAAGTAACCCCCATCTCTGCTGATCCCCCACTCAGTAGTAACCCCCAGCTCTGCTGATCCCCTGCTCAGTTGTAACCCCCAGCTCTGCTGACCCCTGCTCAGTTGTAACCCCCAGCTCTGCTGATCCCCCATTCAGCTCTGCTGATCCCCCGCTCAGTTGTAACCCCCCAGCTCTGTTGATCCCCCACTCGGTATTATTATTATTATACAGGATTTATATAGCGCCAACAGTTTGCTCAGCGCTTTACAATATAACGGGAAACATTACAGCAACAATACAGTTCATACAAGAGGGATAGGAGGACCCTGCTCCTTTTAGCTTACAATCTAGGAAAAGTAACCCCCAGCTCTGCTGACAATCTGGTTTGTTGATACACCTCTCTCTCTGGTCCCCACTCACCTCCCCCACTGTATTGCTCCAACACGTGTGACAATGCTAGTTTTTCTTGCTCCAGTCCCCCATCTCTGCTGGTCAGTGCTCTCTCCCGATCCCTGCTCACCTTCTGATATAGTGTGCCTATGTTACACACTACATGCGCCGTCTGCTAGTTGCTCAGCTCTGGAACCCGCTCACCTTGCTACTGCTCCTCACTGCACACCAGATGTGATATTTGCATCAGACACTCCCACTTCCAGAACCGGAAGTGACTGCTGATGACATTGATTCACTTGTTGGCTGAGATATCCCAGTGCATCCTGGGATATCTCATAGATGCAATAACTCCCAAACAAAGCAAAGCTAAAGTTGAGTAGTAACCCCCCCCAGCTCTGCTGATTCCCCACTCAGAAGTAACCCCCATCTCTGCTGATCCCCCACTCAGTAGTAACCCCCAGCTCTGCTGATCCCCTGCTCAGTTGTAACCCCCAGCTCTGCTGACCCCTGCTCAGTTGTAACCCCCAGCTCTGCTGATCCCCATTCAGCTCTGCTGATCCCTCCGCTCAGTTGTAACCCCCAGCTCTGTTGATCCCCACTCGGTATTATTATTATTATACAGGATTTATATAGCGCCAACAGTTTGCTCAGCGCTTTACAATATAACGGGAAACATTACAGAACAATACAGTTCAATACAAGAGGGATAGGAGGACCCTGCTCCTTTTAGCTTACAATCTAGGAAAAGTAACCCCCAGCTCTGCTGACAATCTGGTTTGTTGATACACCTCTCTCTCTGGTCCCCACTCACCTCCCACTGTATTGCTCCAACACGTGTGACAATGCTAGTTTTTCTTGCTCCAGTCCCCCATCTCTGCTGGTCAGTGCTCTCTCCGATCCCTGCTCACCTTCTGATATAGTGTGCCTATGTTACACACTACATGTGCCGTCTGCTAGTTGCTCAGCTCTGGAACCCGCTCACCTTGCTACTGCTCCTCACTGCACACCAGATGTGATATTTGCATCAGACACTCCCACTTCCAGAACCGGAAGTGACTGCTGATGACATCTGATTCACTTGTTGGCTGAGATATCCCAGTGCATCCTGGGATATCTCATAGATGCAATAACTCCCAAACAAAGCAAAGCTAAAGTTGAAAAAAAAAACACTCAAAAAGCTGCAGGTGCTGTTAGCATGCTTTGTCATAGTGTTCTATGGAGGCTTTGGAGATGCTTTGAAGCACCAAGAAAGTGACATGGGGTATAATCTTCGAAGTAAAGCAAACACAACATATTAACAGGACTGTTAGCTTACCATTTTATTTAGTGACGGGGGCTTTGATTGGCATTTTTTTTTTTTTGAAAAAAAAAAAAAACAAACAAAACTAAAAAAAAAAAGCACAAAAAAAATATAAAGAAAAAAAGCAGACTGCTTTAAAAAAGTGTGTCCAATGCCACATTTTGAAGCAAGTGTAAACAAGCCCAAAGACTTTAAAAAAAGCAGACGATATACTTGATATTCTAGAACAACTGACGTAAAATAAATGAGTTTCGTATCGCTTTAGGTCAGGGTGCAACTTCACAAAAACACACACAATGTTGTTAATGTATCCTACACAACATTTCCAGCTCATATCCAATTAATTACTTGGTGGTGATGTTTGATCATCAGTGCTGGACAGATGTTCATCTTATCATATCATTTAATTGGAAGAAGAGATTTTGTTTGGTAGATCTTCGAATTCTTGATGCTTACAACATAAACACAAGTTGGATTTTAGCTCTACAAGCTCAAATTATCCATTGAAATAATGAGTATTTGAACTGATGTGTTATGCCATCATGCTTATCCTATCTGTCATGTTTCACATGACTGTCATATGCCTTTAAGTGTTTCTATATTTTGTTTCTGCTCCTCCCTTTCCTTTGGTTTAGTTAATGCTGTATAGATAGCACTCCCCCTTTCCCAGAAATGCATTGCAGCTCTAGCCTCATGTCATGGAGTAGGAAACATTATGATCTTTTGACCTATTTAATGTTCATTGTTGTAAGATTCTCTCAGTTTATGGAATAAACTTCACAAGATCTACACGAGGTCTTATCGATTGAGTCACTGAATGTGGTATCCAACTGAGGTTGAAGTTATCGCTATCTCATCACAACTGTAAGTTACAGAGATCACAATATCTATGCTTAGATTGGAGAGACAGAACAGTCAAAAGATCACTGGAATGCTTCATAGGATCCTGGCCAGTCAAAAGATCTATGGAATGCTTCATATGATCCTGGCTAGTCAAAAGATCAGTGACATGCTTCATAGGATCCTTGAAAGTCAAATGATCAGTGAAATGTCTTCATAAAAATCCTTGCTAGCTAGAATACACAGTGAGATGTTACATGGATACTGGATATAACAGCTATAGAGAGTGCAGCCACCTCTACACAGGTCTGTGCATGCATCCAAGTATATCCCAGCATAACACTCATCAGTGTGAGGACAAATTATTGATGTGAATGTTTTATTAACTGCAAGTTTATTCACTGCATCTGTATGCATTTACCACATGGCTTGCCTGTGAACTTATAAGAAAGAAAAACGTCCTGCAATCATTGCTTAGGAAACCTGAACTCACCCACAGAAAAAGTGATACATTTCACTGTAAACTTTCTATCAACCCCTCTCCTTGCTAACATGATGTTTCAGGAAAGAAATATACAGTCTGGGGAAACTAATACACAACCACAATCAGAGTTTCATCCAGACAAGGACTTAGATAAAAAGAAAACCGCTTCAGAAATCCAACCTGGAAAGTGCAAGAGAATTTTAATACTGACAAAGTAGAATTGCTGTCTAATATTAATGACTTATGGTCTAATAATGTTAAATGCATGTCTGCTCTCTCTCAACAATCTCATGAGCCAATACAAGAGGGGCGCTATCCAGCAATTGAATGTTGCTTATGAGAAATATCAAAGACTGTGTGTTAAATATATTGCTCTGTTAAAGCGGTACAACACTCAAAAGGTCATTGGAAAAATTAATGAGTTTTGAGGAGCTCAATCTTGAAAGAGACAATTTAGTGGTGCGAACAAAAGACAAAGGCAGAAGTGAGAATAACACAGCTCCATGAATCCAGATCTTATCGCTCTGCATCTACTAGATGCTCCTCAAGATCTTCCAAATCCATACAATCAAGGTCTTCTACACTCAGTCAACAACTGATAAAAGCCCGTGCTGATGCTGAAGCTTAAAAAATTCAGGCAGCTTTTGCCCAAAATACAGCAGAAATGGAGGCTCAGGCGCAGAAATAGAGGCTCAGCTGCATATAAGAAAGCAGAAATGGAGGGGCTCAGGCCACATTCAGAGAGCAGAAAGAGGCTCTCAGGACTGCAGAAATAGAGTTGTCAGGGCTCCTGCGGGGGCTACCTCTCTGTGACCAGAGGTGTGGTGACTGACGCAGGGAAACGCAGACTTCAGATATGTTATAAACAATGTAATTTATTAACACTAACAATACAAACATAAACGCAGTGCAATACTAAAAACCATAAACACAGTGCAAAACAACCAACCAAACCAAACCACCCACAGATAACAGTACATACAGTGCAAGCGTCGTCAGGCAGGCCGGGTCAATATCAATCGGGCAGGTAGGTACAAGGGGGAGCAAGCGGAGAATGGTCGGGGTCACAAGCCAGGTTCAGCAGGTAGCGGGGCAGCGTGGTATGTACAGAGGGTCAGGGAGAGGAGAATGGTCAGACAAGCCAGGGATCAGAGCAGGGTCAGCAGCAGAGAATCAGACAGGAACAGGAACAGGAAACAGGCCCAGGAGAAACACAAACTCACAAGGCAGAGTCTGCAGGTCTGAATTGTCCCTTAAATACACCAGTATAATTAGTTCCAGGTGTTTGACTGGCTGCAAGGTTGAGTCTCTGATTGCTGGGAGCACCCGCTGGCCAGCCCTGGTACTGCAGTTCATAAGGCAGGCGAGTCCCAATATTGCTGGCCAGTCCATTCCTGACAGTACCCCCCCCCCTCAAGGAGCGGCCTCAGGATGCTCCAAACAGTCCTAGCTGGGCAAGATGTTCCTACCGCCGGGTTCTGGTAACTGGCGGGATATCAAAGACTGGCACACGGGCAGGACACCGGGCAGCGGCACACCGAGCAGAGGCACACCGGGCTGGACTCCGGGCAGAGGCACACCGGGCTGGACTCGGGCAGCGGCACACCGGCAGAGGCACACCGGGGCAAGATGGCACATCGGGCTGGACTCCGGGCAGAGGCACATCGGGCTGGACTCCGGGCAGAGGCACATCGGGGACTGGACTCCGGCAGAGGCACATCGGGCTGGACCTCGGGCAGAGGCACATCGGGCTGGACTCCGGGCAGAGGCACATCGGGCTGGACTCCGGGCAGAGGCACATCGGGCTGGACTCCGGGCAGAGGCACATCGGGCTGGACTCCGGGCAGAGGCACATCGGGCTGGACTCCGGGCAGAGGACATCGGGCTGGACTCCGGGCAGAGGCACATCGGGCTGGACTCCGGGCAGAGGCACATCGGGCTGGACTCCGGGCAGAGGCACATCGGGCTGGACTCCGGGCAGAGGGGCACATCGGGCTGGACTCCGGGCAGAGGCACATCGGGCTGGACTCCGGGCAGAGGCACATCGGGGAGATTACCAGGTGAAGCAGCAGGCACCGGGCCCCCAGGCGGGGGGCGACAGGCATCGGGCCCCCAGGTGGGGCGACAGGGCATCGGGCCCCCAAGCGGAGCGGCAGGCATCGGGCCCCCCAGGCGGAGCGGCGGGGGCACCGAGTCACCAGGCACGACAGTGGCACCGAGTCACCAGGCAACACTGCGGGCACCGAGTCGTCTGGCAACACTGCGGGCACCGAGTCGTCTGGCAACTTGCTGCGGGCACCGAGTCGTCTGGCAACACTGCGGGCACCGAGTCGTCTGGCAACACTGCGGCACCGAGTCGTCTGGCAACACTGCGGGCACCGAGTCGTCTGGGCAACACTGAGGGGCACCGAGTCGTCTGGCAACACTGCGGCACCGAGTCGTCTGGCAACACTGCGGGCACCGAGTCGTCTGGCAACACTGCGGGCACCGAGTCGTCTGGCAACACTGCGGGCACCGAGTCGTCTGGCAACACTGAGGGCACCGAGTCGTCTGGCAACACTGAGGGCACCGAGTCGTCTGGCAACACTGAGGGGCACGAGTCGTCTGGCAACACTGAGGGCACCGAGTCGTCTGGCAAGACTGAGGCACCCGAATCACCAGGCACGACAGTGGGCTCTGACTCAATTGGCACGACAGCGGGCACCGGGTCATCAGGTACCGTATTGTCTGGCTCGACAGCGGGCATCGGGTCACCAGGTATGACAGCGGGCACTGGGTCACCAGGCATCAGGTCATTTGGCTCGCCAGCGGGCACCGTAGTCATCTGGCAAGGCAGTGGGCACCGAGTCACCAGGTACGACAGGGGGCTCTGAGTCAATTGGCACGACAGCGGGCACCGGATTCAGGTACCGGATCATCTGGATCAACAGCGGGCATCGAGTCAATGGCCTAATAGATCGTCAGGCTGGATCAGTTCATCATGCTGGATAGAGGCATCAGGCTGAATGCAGGCGTCCGGCCGAGTAGAGGGCTTCAGGCCGAGTAGAGGCTTCAGGCCGAGTAGAGGCTTCAGGCCGAGTAGAGGCATCAGGCTGCGTACAGGCATCAGGCTGAGTAGAGGATTCAGGCTGAGTAGAGGATTCAGGCTGAACCACGGAAGGCAGGTTCACCGGTTTGGATACTGGCAGGATGGTATTGGTTGGAAAGAATTTTCGCTTTTTTCTGGTTTTAACTACTGGAGCACTGCAAGTAAACGCAGGTCTGCAAACGAATGGAGCAGCTGGAGACAGAGAAGAACTGGAGGATGGAACAGGAGAGGGAGCAGTTGCTACAGAGGGCTTTTTTACAGGGTTAAAGGCAGGATAGGTGCAGCGAGTGGGAACAGGGTACTGACATGCGGTAGATAGCAGGGCAGGAGGAGCTGTTGGGAATGCAGGAATAGAGTTTTGAGGAAATAGATTAGAAGCAGGACTGGGTTTTTTTTGTAAGCTGACTGAGGCTGGGTGCAACAAATCTGTCCCATGTCTGCAGTATGGGTTGAACAAAGCTGAGCTTACACAAAGCCTGTCTGACCAAAGACTGCACTGCGTTTATACAATCTCTTAGTACCTGTGGTGAACATGTGGAATAACGCTCCAGAAAGTAACCACATCATCCTCTAATAACCATACCAGGGACTCTACCTGGTCTGCATTAAATGGTGGCAAAAATTCATCCCTGCATTCGGAGGTACCAGATGAAACCAACTCAGCACAAACCTCAATCAATGGCTGCACCTCAGAGAACTCTGTGCCCTGATCTACTAGAACATGAGCGAGCCGTATACATTCTAGCAGTTCATCCCGGGGATACTCCTTCAGAGTTTGATAAGCATACTCCCTGTCAAACACTAGCAGATATAAATACGCAACCTCATCCAGATCCATCCTTCCCATCAACAAACCAAGATGGCTTCCCTGTGCAGCCACTTCTGGTCAGGGGCTCCATTGACTGATGCAGGGAAACGCAGACTTCAGATATGTTATAAACAATGTAATTTATTAACACTAACAATACAAAACATAAACGCAGTGCAATACTAAAACATAACACAGTGCAAACAAACCAAACCAAAACCACCCACAGATAACAGTACATACAGTGCAAGCGTCGTCAGGCAGGCCGGGGTCAATATCAATCGGGCAGGTAGGTACAGGGGGAGCAAGCGGAGAATGGTCGGGGTCACAAGCCAGGTTCAGCAGGTAGCGGGCAGCGTGGGTACAGAGGGTCAGGCAGAGGAGAATGGTCAGACAAGCCAGGGATCAGAGCAGGGTCAGCAGAGAATCGAACAGGAACAGGAAACAGGGCCCAGGAGAAACACAACACCAAGGCAGAGTCTGCAGGTCTGAATGTCCCTTAAATACACCAGTATAATTAGTTCCAGGTGTTTGACTGGCTGCAAGGTTGAGTCTCTGATTGCTGGGAGCACCCGCTGGCCAGCCCTGGTACTGCAGTTCATAAGGCAGGTGAGTCCCAATATTGCTGGCCAGTCCATTCCTGACATAGAGGCTCAAGCTGCATATAAGAAAGCAGAAATGGAGGCTCAGGCCGCACATCAGAAAGCAGAGATACAGTAGAAGCTGAAAAGCCACACGTCAAAAGGCAGAAATTGAAATTTTTTGAAAACAATGTGAGCATGCCACAGCCATGGGCAAGGTTAAGGGGTCTTAGAACAAGCCACTAGTGAAAACGAAAGAGACAACAGTTCCAGACACTTAGTTGTATCTTATGTCTTAGATTCTTCACACACCTTTCCAGAACGTCAACTCCCTGTCACAACAG